AATAAGAAATAAGAGAAAAGACCTAGGGAATTTGTCTTATCAGAACCTATCTTTCTGATGCAATGTACTGGCATTAACTGCCAGGAATCGGGCTGACGGTAGGAACGAAGTTAAGCGCACATTGCGCGAGTATTGATCAGCACCAAACCTCAAAGGTCTATTGCCGTGTTCAAATGCTCCGTGTTCAGAGCATGTCCTGCCGTTAGCGGAAATTCATCGCAAATTACGGTTCCGCCCAGTCGAAATCCTTCCTCTGGTACGATCTTCCCTTCTCCATGAGTCACCTCACCAACTTCTCAATATTCCTGACTTCCTATCACTTTTCCAAAGCTTTTTTTCACCGGAAATTCTTCGAGTTTTTCTCCGAAGAACTGTCGTGTGGGTGGGGGGAACATTAGATAACGTCGCACTCAGTCGGGACGGTTTCAGTAGCGACGGTGAATGAACCCACCCGCGACGCCTTCACCACTGCCTATTTCTTCCTAAGTCGATCAGTAACCGATCATTATTGATGGAGTAGGGCAGCCGGAGGCAGGGCTCATTCCGCTTTTCACACAGCCCCTCCTTATGCCACGTAATCAGCCACATATAGCACACTTAAAATAATTAAAATTGGTGAAAACTCAAAGCCGATAGCGTTATATCAATTCAACCCCCTCGCTTGGGATCCTCAAGGTACGACGTGCCGAGACTGGTTTCGTATCTTTCAAATCTTTCCTCAGTTGACGGGCATTCACAAAAATGGCAGAGTTATTGTTCAGTCTGGAGGCATAGATACAATGGCTTTCCCCATGTATTTAAATCTTTTGTGAGTTGGATACTTAAAGGCAATTGGCGCTGTAATTTGGTACTCGGTCCAGAATGGTAGTAGGGGTGCTATATAGTGGGGAAAATTACGAAAAAAGAAGTGAAGTCAGAAACCTGCAATGATTCAAAGAGCCATTTTAATGAGTTTCCTGTAGGCATCTTGCCAGTAACCGCTGCGGTAGGTACAGTGCACGTATGTACTCATATATCCATGCAGCACCGCAGCCGCTTCATACCAATCCCTTCGCTTCATATTTTACTTCCAAATGAAGCAATACGAGCATCAAGTACGGTCGTCCATTGTGGGCGGGCGCGCGTGGTGTGCGTTCGGGTCGGTATGCCATAGCTTGATATTGCCCTTAGGCATTGTTCACAGTCTGC